ACCGCTCATTCCCTCTCGCTCATTCGCGAAATGCGTGAGTCGCGGACAAGATTGTTTGATATGAATTGGTTTATTTTGATTTTAAAATTTAATAATTGGCGATTTTGTGCGCCCCCGTTTGAAAAATTCCCGGGGCACGTGCCTTACTTGCCCCACCCTAGCTACGCCTCTGAGGTCAACCGATAACATTTACTACTTGATTAATACAGTCCCTATCCAATTAAAAGTGGGTCCATGATGCTTTTCTTCAATCTTAAATAAATATTATGTGCACAAGTACTTAAAAACTAAGGTAAAAAATTAACTTGAATAAAGCTAATGAGTGATATGTTTATATTTCGAGTTTGCTAATAATGGATAATTTACTATGACTATGGTACCGGCTTTCATAAGCAAGAAAAAATGTGTAATGTTATGGCATGTGTAATATGCTATGTGTAATGTAATGAAAGTGGGGATGAGTTTTATTTATAGATACATAAAATTATTACTTTAAAAACTTAGGGCCTGTGAGAAGTAACAAAACATCTCAGTCTGAGCACACATTAATGGAGAACCAGCTGCTTTCCGAATATGATAAAAACATATCGATAAAAACTATAAAATAAATATCAACAGACTCTTTCGCTATTTATTAAAAAAAATTGAATTTTATGATATAATTGGGCTGCAATTTGAAAAATTGTAGACATAAATTTTCACTATTGGCTGTTCGTCTGTGTTTCCTTTTAATATCGAAAACGGAGTTAGGCAGATGAAAGCCGAGACCAGATGTGGAAACCTTAGGAGTAAGAAGTCTAGATAAACTATATACGAACTTTCGTTTTCTGTAAAAAGTAACGTTATTTCAATTCAAACTTTCCTCTGAATGCAGTTAATAAGATGATATATTAAGATGACGACTCTATTCTTAAAGGAAAAGTATAATGCACAGGGCCCACAAGTTGAGGTAAACAGCATATATTTTAAGTTAAATATATTTAAAATATGATTAAAAATTGCAGCTTGACGTTGGAACGATGTCACAATTAACAATTGCTCGTTTCATTTCTAAAACATCTGAATTAGGGTTTTCTCTGTTGTTACATTCTGATAAATTCAATTGACAACTTTAAATCTCTCAACTAAATTAAATGTTACAGATTATATTAAGTTTTATTTAAATCCTTATTCATTATAAACAACGTGTTCGCGAAGTTTTTCAAATGTTAACATTTCCATTTATATGAATATGAATTTATGTATTACGTATTATTCTTATCCCCAGAAAGATACTTTCATAGTATTAAAAGCATTAAGCCTCTTACCTCTTTCTTTTTTATAACCAAAATGACTCCAAATGGTAAACTTGTTTGTGCTGTTCGTTGAAATTGGTTTTTCTTTAATATTTATCTGAAGTAATAAAAGACTGTGTTATATTATCAGAAAAATCGATCTTTATAGTAAAATAACATAAAAATTCATTTAATGAATACATTTCTTTCAATTATGGCCGACGAATGTGTTAGTTTCATTAACTTCATTGTGCGATTATAGAAACTCATTGACAATACAAGCAATTATTTATTGTGACATAATGACAATGCCGGATTACAGTTTGAATCATATTTTTAATTAATTTAATTTAAAAAATATATTTTCTGCTTCAAATTATTAGCAGCCTGTGCTTCATACTTTTCCTTAAGAATCCAGTTGTGCCGTTTCAGGAGTAAACTTTGAATTGAAATAAGGTGATTTCTGGTTTGCATCGGAAGTTCGTATATAGTTAATCGAGGATAAACTTTCCCTATTGTTTTCGTGTCTGGTTTGGATTACCATCTAACTCCGTTCTCGATATTGAAGAAAGACAGACAACCGGACGAACAATAGTGGAAATTTATTGGTCTATAATCTTTACAAGTTTCAGCCCAATTATATGAATCTGATGTTATATGAATACGAAATAGATAGATATAATACTGGACCAGAAATGGAAAGCATAGAGGCACGAGGCCTCTATTAACTATATACGAACTTTCGATGCAAACCAGAAGTGACATTATTTCAATTAAAAAATTATTTCTGAAGGAGTTCAATACATAAAAGGCACGACTCTATTACTAACAAAAGTATAATATAGAGGGCAAGGCATTACTAATTTCAGGTGGAGAGCATATATTTTAAATTAAATTAATTAAAAATATCATTAAAAATAGCACGGCATTGCGACCGTGTCACAATAAATAATTGCTCGTTAATTGTGTTTTCTTTTATGCAAGTAGAATAAGTCTTATACGTAATGCTTAAATATAAGAAAGGTGTTAAATTTGACTCTCAGGTGTTAGAAATCTCCATGTTTTAAGACTTTCTCAACCAAAAAAATTTTTAAAAATGAAGATTTTATTATTAAAATTTACAATTTTTTAAATAAAATTTATGACTAGAATTCGTGCTAAGTCTAGTTATGCTGCGATGTTGAACTCGTTTCTCCTCCCACCGCTAGAATTCTAGTTAGTTCAGCTTGTTTTATGTATGCTAACTTCTACTATTGACGTTATTGTTTTTGTCTCGTCGTACGATTTGCAAGATGGCTGCCCGTGTTGGACTAAACGTATATTATTATAACAATCACAATGTTATTCTCTCATTCAAATCATTAACTCATTCTAAAATGACTTCGAAATGTAAAATTATCATACGTCTGTATAACAGATTCCGAACACGTTTTAACGGAAGATAACGGTCAATTTCGTTGATTACAATTAATAATTGCTTTATTGATTTCGTCAAGATCTGACGCAGCTTCATTTGAATAATTGTATTGGGCACTTCATCCTTTTCGACTAGTTCGTTTGCGACAATTGTTGCGATCATAATTTTAACTTCGTCAACCATTTTGCCCAATTGTCTAAGAGTAATCGTTCAATGATGCTCAGAAAATTCTTAGCTCCGCACACTAAGCCACTTACCCCCGTATTCACAACCGCTAGTTAAACAGAGAGTTAACGAACTCGAGTTTAGATGTAACTCGAAGTCAGATTACGAGTTACTCTTCTTTCGTATTCAGATAAAAGTATAACTCTAGAGTTTCGCTACTCTAGAGTTAATGCTTTAAAACAATCCTGCGTTCGAGATTAAACAAGTCTTCTTTGTAAGCAGAATCTTGATTGGTTGAAAGCAAACGCGTGTAGAAAATGGCGGAAAGTGAAATGGAAAATAGTGCATGCCGAACTGAAATGTTTTCGTGGCATAAAAACGTAGAACCAACAACAGTTGTTCCATCGGCGACATCAGATAATTTTTCGATGATGTAGAAACTAAATTGTGACCAATTCGTTCTAGTATGTTTCTTACGCTGTCTTTTGGCAAACGATATCGACATAGAAAGTCGTAATCGTCCAATTGTTCAAGGTCATTTCTTCTTGGAGAAATAATCCGCCGACTTCTTCGTTCCATACGATCTATATAATCTAGATATTTCAGATTTTCTAGCATCTCGGCTTCGTCCTAGTCGAATGTCGCCATTTTGCTTTGAAATAGATTGCTTTGCATGAAACCTAGAGTTATCGTCTACTCGCCGATTTTCTAGAGTTAGAGTTAGAGTTATTGTGTTTGACTCGTGATTCGGAGTTGAATACCATTTTACCAATAACTCGATAGTTAACCCTAATCTAACTCTAAAGGCGGCTATACACGTTAAGTTAATTCTTTGAAACTGCCTGACCTTGAGGAACTTCAGAATTTCCTATCGTCCACAAACTAAGAAGAAAAGCTCTCAACAGAGGTGTAACTAGAGTGGGGAAGAAGGGCACGTCTCCTGGTCGCCACTCGCAGAGGAGTGCCGAATGGTCTCCAAGACAAACAAGTTTTGTTTCTGGAGGGGAGGGGCGAGTGAGGGGGTCGCCAATATAGTGTCGTACCTCGGGCACCAGTTATGTTCGCTACGCCATTGTCTCTCAGTCAGTCGGCCATGACTTCTGATGACGACATACTGGCTGTTCTTGGTTATCTATTGGCAACAAATAATTCTATTAAAACTCGCGAGAAATAACATATGCGTAGACGTCTATGGTGTAAAGAGTGGCTTAAGAAAAGAGGATCGTATTTCCATGTGAATCTGATCTCAGAATTGAAGTTAGTACCTAAAGATTGGCCCAACTATTTAAGAACGGACGAAGAAACGTATTTAGATCTATTATCATTGGTTACACCAATTATAAAAAAACAAGATTCCGTAATGCGAGCAGCAATTTCACCACACGAGAGGCTCGCTGCGACCTTAAGATATTTGGCAACTGGCAAAAGTTTTGAAGATCTCAAATTTTCAACATTAATATCACCTCAAGCCCTTGGCTATATCATACCTGAAACATGTGATGCTATTTACGAAGTCCTTCAAAAAGATTATTTAAAGGTAAGAACAAACACTTCTTTTTAATAGATTTTTATTGTCATAAGGTACAAAAATGTCATATTACATATAAACATATACAAATTACAATATCAGAAAGTAGAATGACATAATTAAAATTTAAAACAAATGAAACTATGTCATTTTAACATGGTGATCATTAATTAAGATTATCTTTTCTGATATTATTTTTACTCCTGATAATGTTCAACGAAAGTGCTGGAAGAGGGATTAATAATACCGAAACCGGTAGAAATTGGTGGTTGATAGCGAATAAATTGATGTGGCAAGTGTGGCTGTTCATACATCAATTTATGCGAACAATTTAAATTTCCCATTTCCGCTTGAAACAAAGTTTCGTTTATTAGCTTTTCGGCAATCAGCATTTGTTGCTTTGGGAGTCCACGCAATTTCATTGCAACATTTTTTCCAAAAATATCGAAACGATCATCTCGAACGTGTGGTTTCTTAAAGTGATCATTCACAGTTAATAAAATTTCGTTAGTCAACGATTTTTGATCCACTCGACTTCGTTTAGGGTGAAGGCTGCGTCGCGTCTGTACTGGAGTATCCGAAAGTTCTGTTAAATTATCATTCTGTGTTGCGATTATTGATGGAGTAATAATAATATCTTCGCTGTTATGATTCTCCTGCGTTGTATTATCATCATTCTGTGTTGCGATTATTGATGGAGTAATAATAATATCTTCACTGTTATGATTTTCCTGCGTTGTATTATGCGTAGCGTATTCCTAAAATAACAATTTTATTAATGTAGTAAAGGAAATTGATTGTCTTTTACCATATTATTTTATGTTAATTTTATTAATTTAAAAAATTAAGTTATTTATTCTTTTTTCTTTTCTTTATTAGTTTCCACAAGCAGAAAGAGAATGGATGAATATAGCGGAACTCTTTGAAGAAAAATGGAATTTCCCGCATTGCCTCGGAGCAATGGATGGAAAGAATATCAACATTATTCCTATAAGTGGAAGTGGATCAGAATTTTATAATTACAAAAGGAAGACACAGCATGGTTTTACTGGCTGTTGTGGATGCGAAATATCAATTCATTATGTGTGATTAAACACTGTAAATTCTAACATCAAGCAAAATCTTTTTTAAGTCTGAACCATCCAGAGATATGACACGTGACCACCCTCCATCTCTCCATTCTCTTGACAATTCAGAACCAAAATTTAATAGCATCAATGACACTTATATACAAGCTACCATGCAAATTTTCGTTACTTTATTTTCACCCCGTCCTAAGATATTAAGCGAAATACAGGCCAACACAGGCACACACACACACAATAACAGAAATTTTTTTTTGGTTTTAACTAAAAATTTTTTTTTACTTGTTGTTACAGCCGGGAAAGTAAAATCGGACTTCATACAATAGGGACAGGTAATTCCCAGTAAGCTGTAACATATACACAACAATATAAAAAAAATTAAAGATGTGAGATCACAAAACTTTTGTCAGTAAACAAAGGGTTCAAGAAACGTTAGAGTCGTATACTAAACTACGTTTTACTCACCTGTATATTTTCATGTTCTAGAGGTTCTGATTTAATTCCTCTACAAAATTTTTCGGTATCCGCATTGAATTCTTTCTTGAAATTATTTAAAACTTCAAACTTTTCATCACCTCGGTTAAACGTAAATCCTGAATATTCATTTTCTGGCTCTAATTTTATGTTCATTTTCTCAGTTTAGACTATTCTGGCGTGTCAACAACCTGTTTTCAATGAAAGATTTTAAAACCATCATGTTTGAATTTATATTTGCATAAATAAACAAATAAAATTTATATAATAGTAAACACTTACCTCTTCTAGTTGAATACAGTGTCATCAATCAATATCAATTAATAAATAACCAAATTAATTTCACTCGAATTCTAGAGCGAGTAACAAAGACAGACAAGTAAACTCAGTTCTATTGTTAGCGTACAGTACTAAATAGAAGGCCGCGCCCTCAAGGTTAATGGAAGAAAGTCTAGGGGGTAGCACGTGTTGTTGGTAGCCCCACGTGATTTATGGTAAATAATTATTGTTCCTAGAAACAATCTCTGAATATTTATAATATTAAAAATTAAGTATTCGGTATTATCGTTTAAATCTAAAAATGTCTGAGTCATTACCATTTATCATTGAAAGAATCGAATATGCTAATTTTCCAACTATGGAGACAGTTAACATTTTGTTTTAGAATATATTATTGTAAATAAACGTGAAAATTAAGCAATTAATTTTGATATAAATAAAAAATTTTGCCTGATTCTACTTTCAATATTTTTTATTTTTTTATTTTGATGAGGTGAAAGGTTAATTTAGGTCATTGTTTCTGCTTCACTTTCTTCCGGATAATGGCACTTTTAGTTAAGGTAAAATAATGCTATATTTTTCAAACTTATTAACATCATAACAAAAATTTTATACTCATAAAAGAACTGGGTAACATCTCGTTTGTCTGTTTAAATAAGATGTAATATCACTTATAAAACGGAGGTTATGATTTCTGTGACTGTCCGAGTTAAAAGAACGATAATTAAAGCAAGCAAAGCTTACCTCGGAGCCATAATTAGTGTCATTCAAATACGATGTCTTCGTTGGGAACAGGGGAAAAAATACAAAACTTTGAGCAGATCGTCACACGCTTTAAACAGGGCTGGTTATGATAGATATGGTAAGTTATTTTGATCTGTGTGATAAATGCAAATATTTCATTCCTTTCAGGAAATGTGAACCAGGTATGACTCTTGTTATTATTTCATTTCCTAGCAGTGTGTAAATAGACTAATAGAAGGACAATTCGCAATGCCAGGTTAAAAAGTAATGCTCAATGCCCAAATCTCTGCTATGGACTGAATTTTATACATTTTATCGATGATATTATTTTGATTTTTCTGATACTATAATGTTTTTAGTTAATTACAGTAGAGCGTCGATTTTCCGAAAGTCAATCATCCGAAAGAATTCCAGTTGGCAAATTTAAATTTTCGCCAGTGCTGTGGCGCTTCAATCTTTGGCTATGTCTTGGGCTACTCAAATATTTTACGTTTTTGATACTAAATTAACATCTGAAGTATAATTTTTTATTATTTTTATATTTTTCAATATATTTATTTTGTTTGTACAAAATAAAAAAATAATTTTTAACGATACAATAGTCTTTGTTAGGCTTAACATCGACGAAAATTCAACGCGAAGCGACACGCAACGGAGAAAAATTTCGACATCGGATAAGTTAAACTATTTTTTCGTACGTAAATCAGTTATCCGAAATATCAATTATCCGGACAACCCCAGTCCCCAATTGATTCGGAAAATCGACGCTCTACTGTAATTGTAACTGACTTTTTTCCCACGTTATTTTTATTTTAGTGTTTCGCACGAAAAATAATCAAATTTAAATTTATTTTTATTTATTTTTTTTAGTAATTTTATTCATTTATTTCTTAAATTTATCCATTTTTTTAATTTTTGTTTTCTTTTTAAATTTAAACTTTTAATTATAAGAGAGTTAACATTAAATTATCGGGCTATTTAGTCAGGCTACTGTAAACATTCATTGGTGCGTTTTAAGAACAATACTATTAACCTATAACACGTGATTTTATAGCTGCAAAGTATCACTTGTGCTCGTAACGTGTCACCACTGGAGTTTCTTCCGTTAACCTTGAGGGTGCACCCTTGTTTACTGCTACAACGAGAACAGTAGTAATGAGTTTACTCGTCTTTCTTTGTTACTTGCTGTAAATTTCGAATGAATATTTATTTATTAATTAATTCTTGGATTCAGTGCAGTTTGTTGAAACACGAGAATATCGTAAATCAAGAAAATGAAGATAAAACAAGAGTTAGAAACAGAACATTCGGACTGTACAACTGAACGAAACGAAAAGAAATTTGAAATTGATTTAAAGAATTTCAAGAAAGAATTTAATACGAATGTAAAGTGTTATAAAACAATTAAATCCGAACCTTTAGAGGTGAGTGAAAAATACTTTTCTATAAGATTGCAGTATTGCTTTAATTAAGGACGAGAAACAACTGAAAAACTAAATTATAAAGGGGGGAAATAGAAAAACATATTTTTCTAAAACAGTATACTTGTATAAGGAATGGCCTTACGAGCTTTAAACTAAGATATGTGAGTTTAGATTTCAAAAAAAATGTCATTTCGGCTGTTCTTCTAATGAAATTTTACGTCTTAGCCACTAACCGGAATTACTGTCAATAATTGTAATAATACAGTCTTATTGGAATCGATAAAACAGACAAATCAACAGTTACGCGTTATAAATTCGTGGAACAAAGGCAAATTTGAATTAGAGGGCTTCACGTGAAGCGTTGACTTTTCTTCCGGACATTTTCCTTCCGTAGAAGGAAGGGGAGTGGTTTATGTATAGTGGATGTCCGTTTATTTCATTAAATTTTAATACATTTATTTTAAAATTTTTGTATGATTTGTTTCTACTTGTTATATTCATTATTCATAAAGTTATGAAGGTTTAACGGGGGGAGATTTCTTCCAACGTTTAATAAAGTAGAACAATGGGGGATAGGGCGTATAAATTTCAAGAAAAGTGCGGACGTAATTTATGGATAGCCCCTAAATTTCACATTCATTGTAAGCAAGAACTGAACTTATTCTAATTAACATAAATACAATTAAATAGTTAATAAGAACGAGTCGAAATAAATATTTTGTATGTTTTGTGTCATAGGAATTGAGTGAGAGAATAATTTATAAAGAATTTAGTAACATTTTTGGTATTTTGGGACTTTTTGAGTGAGAAAATGTAATTCTAATACAAAAAAAAAATTCGATATTTTATATGTAGATAGGGTGAGATGATGTATTTTGAGGTTTAATAACTTAGAAACTCGTTTTTAATTATATATTTTTTATGTATTTTTAAGTCATTTAGTGTGATAATGTTACATAATTTTTATTTCGTTTCAGATAAATACTTATGAAAATTTAATATCAGAAAATAACACAAACGGTTTTAATATCTGGAGTAATAGTGAAATAGGTAAGAGAGGCTTCATACTTTTAACACTATAGAAATATGTTTCTAGTGATTAGGATACGTAAAGCGTAAATATAAATAAATTCATATTTATATAAATGTAAAGTTAATAATTTAATAATTTTTGCGAATATTTTGTGACCGAAGGGTCGGCATTGGGTCGGTTATGCCTACGTCAGGACTAGGGTTTCTCTTTTCCTGGTCTATTGCATGTCCCCATATGCCGAGATAAAAGTTTAAAATTAATAAATACAAGTGTATTCTGACAGTTTATGAGTTAATTAAAAAAAGTGACCTTTTAAGAAATTTGCGGAATTTCCCGGGATTAAAAAACAACCCGAAAAGTTTTTAATAAATTAATAAACTTATAAATTAAACTGTTAAGACAAGCTTCAATATATCCAACACCACGTTGTCCAGTAAACTATAAATGACCAGTAATTTGACTTCACTGTTTTTTAATGTTTACAAGCAGGCTTTGAATATCGATGTCTTCGGTAAGACTCCTGCATGGTGCAGTTCGAATGTCCGTAAGAATAGGCAGCTACAGTCTGGCGAATGGCGGAGGTAGAAGGGATCGGGGAATACACTTGCACGAGGAGACGGATCGGAGAACTCTCGTTTTCGTCATCGATCCTGTACTTTTATTTTTGGAGGTTTTACCCTTTTTTCTGATGCTCATCTTTGATAATTTTTAAAGTCTATGCCGAATAGCGATTTATTTTGTAAGGTTTCCGGTGACACATCCAGAAGAGGTGTGTCAGATGACAGATTTTACCAAGGAAAACTTTTCCTTTAACAATAGCGTTGTGCAGGCAATCTATTTAATACATTTGAATTGAAATAACGTGACTTCCGGTTTGTGTAGGAAGATCTTATATATCAATAGTTAATCTGGGTATCCTGCCACTACGATTTCCATATCTGGTCTCGTATTTTATTTATCTAACTCCTTTTTCGAGAAATATGGAAACACAGACGGACAAACAAACGAACGACAGTGGGAATTTATAAGTCTACAATTTTTTTTTTTTAATTTCAGCCCAAACATTTACGACGAAGACAAACTCTTTTCTTTCATCCTAGCAACATGAGGTCAGTTGAGTGTTGTGACACCTAACTATTATAGGGTCTCGTTCTTTATTAAAAAATTACATATTCGAAATTTATTTGAAAATTAACAAGAAAACATTATGTATTATCAAGATTAATGCTATTAAATTTTGGTAGTTAAAAGCGAGGAGCAAAGACATAAAGTGGGTCGTGTGTCATAACTCGAGTAGGGTCGGAATTAATAAAGATTTTACTCGTTATTTACATTTATAATTTTTTTAAAAACTTATCCTTACCCTCAAAATTAAGCGTTTTCACATTTCAAATTATTAGAACATAAACCAGTTTCATTTATTAATTCATTTAATTGTTTGCTTAGAATTTTTAAAACAAAAACACTTTCTAAATTGCAATATAGATTGTAAGAAAGAGGAAATAAAAGAGGAGGAATGTGATATTAAACACGGCATAAAATCAGAATGTAAAGTTGTTTTGAAAAAATTAAAGTTTGAAGTAAAAACTGAAGATTGTAAACGAGTTCATCTCCCATATAAATACGAAGATTTAAAGGTAAGTTATACAAACTTCCAATTATATAACACATTATAAGTTAAATTTGCATATTACTTTTTGTTTATTATTAAAAGCGTAGGTAAATATGAACAATTTTATACAATTATACTGTAAATTTAGGTCTATTTTCTATTAATTAAACAACCAAAGGTGTGAATTTTATGCTTATCTTTATTTTGTTTTTTTTCCACGATAAAAGAATTTTTTATTTTATGTTTTACATTCTTTAGCTTATAAAGAACGAATTCATCATTTCCGACAGAAATTCTAACAAGAATCAAACGAACGTAAAAAGTAAGTAACATGTTACAAGTTTATTTATTAAATGATCGTTTTAAGATCAGAATTATACATATAATATTAGTGGTAGGTAACGAGGATTCAATCTGGTTACTAACTTCCCCAACACTCACCTTGGCGCAACACCAATCATTAACTAACCAGCTCCAGATGCTTGCCGAAGTCATGACCGGATATGGCATGAAGAAGAAGAATATTGGCGCTATGCGACGTTTATAATTTTCGTGACGCTATCTGTTATCATATTTTATATAAGCATTTTTATATTTTTAACTATTACAGAATGGGGAGGCCTTAATTTTGAAGGTAAAAATGAGTTTTTAAAAAAAAAATTCTAAATGCTCATACAGAGGAAAACTGTCATTACCTCCGACCCTACTGGAGATATAGGCCTATACACTACCTTTATTACCCCCTCACTCTGTCGATTTTTAACCACCACAAATTAATAGTATCAATCTCTTTAATAAATAAAACTCCCTGCAAAAATTTAGAAATTTTTGACAAAAAGCATAGGAGATTTTAAGCTTCAAACAGAGAAAAAAATTGGAGAAAAAACCAATTTTTTTTAATTATTATTTCTAGACGTTTGAAGATCTCCTGAGTCCAAAAATGTAAAAGTGTTGGGGGTCAGCTATTTTTGCCTTCATGAGGGAAAGAGCTAAAGGGGGGAAGGAAGGATAGCACATAGCAATTGCTTGCATGGAGTTTCGCACTCGTACATCATACTTTTCCTGTCTGTAGTACAGTGGTGCCTATTATGCATCTACCTTCAGAAAAATTTCTGCATTGAAATAACATGGCTTGCGGTACAAATTGGAAGTTTATATATAGGTAATCCAATCCTTTTTCTCGTACGATTTTCATGTCTGATCGCGACTTTCATCTATCTAACTCCTTTTTCGAAGTTAAGAAAAAAGAGATAGATAAAGAAAGGCATTAAAAATTTATAGGTCTATATTTTTTTCGTTTTCTAGAACCCACTTCCCGCATAGTTTATACAATCTGTTAACAAAATAAACAAGTCATACGAAGTTTTACGGACGTTAAGGTATAACTTTGATCACGTGCGAGGCCATCACAACCTATACAACACGAATCACTTTACAAATATTAATAATAGACCAGTATTAATGAATAGTCATTGATCATCCTGTCTTCCGGGAAGAGGTCAAGATCTACTTTTGATCGAATTAACATCTACTCCCTTCTGCAAGAAGTGTTCTTTCTATCGGACCAGCATTCCAATACGAAAATTATATTATATAAGATTACCGGGCTGCAAAAAATTTGATTTAAAGTTGTTTTCGAGGGTGCTGTGATTAAATATTTGGTCTATTTTTTGAGAAATTTGATTGATTGGCAGATTATCGTTTGATATTCGGCTGTGAATGGCACAATTTCTTCGAGTTAACATTAAAAAAAAATATGATATATTAATTAAAAAGTTTAAAATATATTTTTAATTAATGACTACTTCATCAATGAAATTGTGCTATTTCGTACCGTCTGAGTATCATCATAAACGTTACATTAGTAGGCTGAAATAACCAAACTCTTTATATGATTTTCATTTTAATGTATGTTATATCTATATAGTATTTGATTGTGTTGCAAAACACATTCTCAATGTGTCTTGTAACACATACATATATATTACTGTTTAGTACATTTACTATAAAGTCTTTTTTTCGAAATTTGAAGGTCCTCTCAGTTTAAAAATATAAAAATTTAGGACAGTCATATTTTGACCAATCTCCATGTTGTCTGTCATATGTAACCAACAGGAAATAAACGTACATAATGAAAAAAATGTTTATCTTTTTCATTAATCATAAGAATTATTAAGAAAATTATGACAAGAATCGAATCATAAGACCCATTTGGAATTCCGATAAAGGTTCAGTTCAGCAGAAATCGATTTTACAAAGTAACACGATTTATTTTCAGAAACAAAACTTAAGCTACTAACTTTATATTAAAGCATTAATTATTAAGTTATAAAATTAATAACTAATGATATAATATAAAAAAAATTTTGTAAATAGATAACAAATATTGTGTTTTAATTTAAAGTAAATGAAGTAATTATTGTATTTAATTTTTAAATTTCAGTTAAGGAGGAAGAAGAGAGTGAAGAATACGATATTCAGCACGATTCAGAAAGACAAAACGATAATAAGTGTAATGTAAACAAGTCGAAATTCGTCCCTTCAATTAGAAAATACAACAACAAAATCCAAGGAAAGATAAAGAGAAAATACCTCAGAGTAACTCTTTCATGTCACTCGAAACAAAATCACAAATGTGATTTATGTAAACAGACTTTTGTAAACAAGGAAATACTACAAGCGCATTTGAACTTTCATATCGGAAAAAAACCATTTAGCTGCACAACTTGCGATCAGAAATTTTCTTGGCAATTTCTATTGAAAAGACACATGATGAAACACATCACCGAAAAACAAAGGAAAATGGATCGTATAAAAGTTCGTTCGCTGTCATTATCAAAAAATCAGAAACCCTTTCGATGTGACATTTCCGATAAGCTACTTAATAAAAAGGGCCAATTAGAAAGGCATAACAGAACACTACAACCAGTATCTCATTCTTGTAAGATATGTAAAAAAGAATTTAAAACGAAATCGATATTAAGACACCACCAACTTACCCATAGTGAAGATCGACCTTTCAAATGCGATATATGTGATAAGGGCTTTAAAACGAAATACCATTTAAAAAGGCATCGTGAAACTCACAGTGATGAATGTAAGTATTCTTGTCAGGTGTGTAACAAAAGTTTTAAAACAAAATGCTCTTTGAGAAATCATATAATCATTCATAATAAAGATTTAAATCATTCTTGTCAGATATGTAACAAAAGGTTTAAATCAGAAGTGCATTTAAGAGCGCACGTTGCTATACATACCGATGAACGCAAGTACTGTTGCCAGATATGTAACAAGAATTTTAAAACAAAACGCAATTTGAAACAACATAAAAGAACTCACGAAGATAGAAGTGATAAGTATTTTTGTGACGTATGTAAAACAAGTTTTAAATGCAAAAGTAGTGTTGACAGACATCGCTTTGTTGAACATCAAAATATGTTTTTTTGCTCTTATTGTAGTAAGTCATTCAAAACCAAAAATTCGCTGAAAGTTCATTCAAAAAACCATATTCAAAAATGTAATATCTGTAAAAAGAAGTTTTCGAGTAAACACTCTTTAAACCATCATCAGAAAATTCATTTTGACATAAAACCGTTTGTTTGTGAGGTGTGTAACAGACGTTTTGTATCAAATTCTGAGTTGAAACGTCACCAAAGTTCTCACAATAAAGACAATCTTCCTTACGTTTGTGAGGTATGTAAGAAGGGATTTTACACTAAATCTCACTTGTTTAGGCACCGACCCGTTCATAAAAAAGAGGAGCATCTTTGCATCCATTGTAAAGGCAGATTTAAAACAGAAATTAAATTGAAACTGCATTTACAGTTTTCTTGTTCAGAAATACATCCCAAACGATTACCTTACCAATGTAATGTCTGTAAACGGTTACGTTTACAGACATTACATTGTAATGTCTGTAAACGTAAATAGTATTACTTTACGTAAATAGTTTTGCTTTGGAGGAACATCTACTCACTTACAAGGATCAAATACACTTCTGTTGCGACGTTTGTAAGAGGAAATTTACGTCAAAAGTCGAATTCGAAACTCATCAAAAGACTGCTCATCCGCCAGGAGGAAAGTATAAATGCGAAATTTGCAATAAGACTTTTGGGAGAGAGATTAGTTTAAATAGACATATGAAAATAAATATCGATTCAGGCGTTAAAAAATGTGATGTTTGTGATAAGAAATTCTGTTCGCTTTTTAAATTAAAACTTCACCTGCAAAGCCACCTTTCAGAATAAAATATCTTGCGTTAAATACGTACTTTTTATACGAATATACTAAATATATTATACTGGACAATAAATAGAAATGTTTAGATTTTACTGATTACTTCTATCGGTGTTATTTCGTTGAAATAATTGCCTGCAATTAAAAAAAAACACCGTTGATTTCTATATTTCCACTGTTATCGTTCTGTGTGTCTATATTTGCTTAATCTCGAAAACAGAATAAGACGGAAGAACATCGTGACAAGGTATGGAAGAATTNTTCACGTGCGAAGTCATTTTTTACAATAGGATTTTCTGTGTGAAATATGTCGAAACTATTTAAATACAATACTCCTTTTTATAGTAAATATATTATACAGGACAATAGGTAGAAATTTTTAGATTTTGTGTCTGTCATTTTGTTTGTAATAATTAGGCTGCAATTTGAAAAACACTGTAGATTCATAAATTTCCACTGTTCTCCGCGTGTGTATCTCTATTTATTTAATGTCGAGAACGGAATACGATAGATGAAAGTCGTGACAAAATATCGTAATCTTAGGGGGAAAAGGTCCCGTTTAACTATTTGCAAACGTCCGGTTTACACCGGAAGTCACGTTATTTCAATTTAAAATTTTTCCCCGAAAGGAGTTAGATACATGATCGGCACAACTCTATTGCTGACAGAAAAAGTATGATGTACAGACTAAAACATTATAAATTTCAGTGGAGAGCATATATGTTAAATTAAATCAATTAAAAATATAGTTAAACATATATGATGTCCACCTCAAAGTAGTTGTTGCTTCCTCCTGTACATCATACTTTTCCTTTAACAATGGAGTCGGCCGGTCATATATTAACCGCTTTCAGGGGAAAAGCTTATTATTGATATAAGGTGATTTACCGATTTGCACCGAAAGTTCGATCACAGTTAATACGGGCCTCGTGTTTCTAAGCTTTTCATATTATCTGATCTCGGCATTCGTCTAAATCCGTTCTCGATATTAAGAAAGAGACAGTCACACAGACGGACCACTGTGGGAATTTATAGGTCTACAAGTTTTTCCAACTTGCAGCACTGTATCACGTTCTAAGATGTTTTTTTTGAACTTTTTGTTCGTTTATTGCTTTATATGTAATGATTAATCAAACATAAATAATTTTCGAATGATTACTTAATTTGTATTTAATTTTGACAAAGGATCGACCTGTGACCGGAAATATACAATGTCAAAGTTCACAGTGTTAAGTGTATGGCGAGGGAAACGACATACTGTATCTGTTTTACACGGGCCAACCTAATACGTATTTGTACTTGTATGGTTTACTACTAATTCTGGAAAAAATAAATGNTTTTGGCCTTCCTCTCCTTTTCTCAAATTTGGGTCTAATATCCTTTGAGTTCCAACTCCAGCATTATTTAGTATTCCTTCCAGCGTTGCAATATTTGGCTACTTTGCTCCAAATTTGGCTACCATTTGACGTAAAAATTATCTTCACTAAATCTAAGTAAAAATTATCATTTGGCGCATTAGCTACTTTTTTTGCTACATATTATTTATAAATATATTAGTCGAATAAAAATGCACTTTAAAATGGTGTTTCGTCGTTTTTTACTAATTAGAGACCCAAATAAAACAAATATTTGTGTTTTTCAAATAAATTTTTATTTGTCTCCTTTATAATAAATTTTTATTTGTCTCCTTTATTTATTTCTAAGTAAAAATTAAAAGTGTCTGTAGAAGTAATTTTTTAAAATATCCTTTTTCGCGATAAAGTTTTAATATTTATTACTATAATCTAGACTTGTTAATTCTTAAATATACTTGTATATGTATGGATTGGGTCACAAATATATTATATAGGCCCTATACTTGTGGCCCAAAACTCCATGGCTTCTTCCAATGTGGCCCAGAGGAACAAAAAGGTTGGANATAGGACAATCGACTCAATTGTATTATTTATAATTATTCATAGTTTATATTAACTGCAATTTTTAATCATATTTAAGTTTAAAACATTACGTGACTACGTTTAATCGGTCCTCCGGTAGAAAAGTTTTCGATTTTCACCTAAATAACTCTATTCTCTGACGCGTAGACTGTGAATAGTGGGAATCTACAGGTCTAAAAGTGAAAAATTTCAGCCCAGTTAATATTACAATTAAAGTCAGGCAACTGTTGCAAATGATAACCAATAAGTAGTAAAGAAAATTAAATAAATCTGTAAGGAACCAAGTCTGAGCTTTATTTTTATTTTACTTTTATTTTGCTTTCATTGTATTTTTGTTTGGGGCTTATGTTTAGTTAAGACGAAGGTTCCCTCACCATTCACCTTAGTAACTTAAAAATAGAAGAAAAACCAACTCACCGAAGAAAGAAAACCGCCGTAGAAAAACTCGCGCTTCCTGAGCGGAAAAAAGTAAGTCCGCACCGAGAAAAAAAGTGGGGAGACCCCACAACCCAGTTAGGAATCGCTAAACCTTAAAACAGGGGTGTCCAACCCGCGGCCCGCGGGCCGCANGTGTTATTTCGTTGAAATAATTGCCTGCAATTAAAAAAAACACCGTTGATCTCTATATTTTCACTGTTATCGTTCTGTGTGTCTATATTTGCTTAATCTCGAAAACAGAATAAGACGGAAGAACATCGTGACAAGGTATGGAAGAATTTGGACAAGAGGCTTACATTAACGTTATTTCAATTAAAAATTTCTTCTGAAAGGAGTTAGATATATATTTAACCCCTTTCACGAGAAAACTTAAAATAAAATATCATCATTTTCGGTTTACATCAGTTCTTATATACTTAAAAATGGTCTTCGCACTGTACGGTCTTCTGGTCTATGGTCTTTTCTCGGATTTCTTCCATCTGCTCTCGAGATTAACGAAAGACAAACGGACAGATGGACAACAGTGGGCAATTTATACCTCTACAGTTTTTTAAATTGCAGTCCAACAAAGTCTTCAAAATAGAATCAATTAGTTATTGTTATAATAAATGTTAAATTGTTTATGAAATCAATTTTTATAAAGTTATAACAAGTTTTTTGTGAAACTTTTCTTTGTTTATTGCTTTATTTGTAATTATTAATAAAAAAATAAATAATTTTCGAATAATTACTTAATTCGTATTTAATTTTGACAAAATTTCGACCTGTCACCGGAAATATACAATGACAAAGTTCACAGTGTTAAGTGTATGGCGAGGGAAACGACATACTGTATCTGTTTTACACGGGCCAACCTAATACGTATTTGTACTTGTATGGTTTACTACTAATTCTGGAAAAAATAAATGTAAATATTAATCATTGAATTATTTCCTTTTTTTTAATTTCAATGAACCGCATTGTACCGCGTGATTTGCATTTAATACTGCATTAATTTCGTCCTAAATTTGCTCACGGATCTACATTGTTAAGTACATAAAAATTCGAATTTAAATTGAGGTATTTTCGCGTAACTCAATTAACTTTAATTCTTATGGTTTTCCGGAAGGAAGAGAAGAGGAAGCAATTATAGAGATTAACCTTTGACCTTTATATATATAATAAATTTTAAAATAAATATAATAAAATACATAAACTCTATAAAATTTAATAAAATAAGTAAAGTTACACTAAAGGTCAACTCCTCCCCCTTTCAGTTCACTAACGAAAATGTCTGAAGTCAACATTCGACGTGGGCCCCCTAGTTCAAATTCCCGTGGTCCCATGAACTTATAACCCGCCACTGTTTTAACGATCCCAATAGGACAATCGACTTAATTGTATTATTTATAATTATTCATAGTTCAATATTGACTGCAATTTTTAATCATATTTAAATTTAAACTTAACGTGACTACGTTTAATCGGTCCTCTGTCAGAAAAGTTTTCGATTTTCACCTACATAACTGTTATCTGACGCGTAGACTGTGTATAGCGGGAATCTACAGGTCTAAAAGTGAAAAATTTCAGCCCAGTTAATATTACAGTTAAAGTCAGGCAACTGCTGCAAATGATAACCAATAAGTAGTAAAGAAAATTAAATAAATTTAAATCTAATGATATAATAAAGGGTCCTGGAGACAACGGTTTCACTAATGTCTGTTTGACAGTTTTTATATGTAAATATGACAAATCCTTTCGAGTTCGTCTCACTTCTTTTACTTCTAAAATCGAACATTTTCCCTCGTAGTCATGAATTTTAGTACAGAAACTTCATTTTAAAATTTTGGAAAAAGTAATGTAAACGTAGAAATTTGCGCAACTCATTGCTGGTTTATCCTACAGTCGAATTTCTCTTTCGAATGGGGACAGAGAGAGAGAAAGAGTTTGCACAATAACTTAAAATATAATATACCTTTTAATTTTTTCACAATTATTTTGTAAATAGGATATTTCTCTTCGTCTTCGAATTATTTTTTTTTCCTTTGTGAGTCGAAGGTTTAAGAATTTTGGCGGCTACACTGTCTCTCTTCTACACAGTCAACAATTATTACGAGGGAGACTTAAGGGAACTGCCCTGTCTGAAAGTGACCTCTTTTTAAAGCACAATTACAACTGTCAAAGCAAGACCTTTACCTTCATGTGACGGAAGTTGGACTGATTAGCATAGAGAAGCTGGCACTACCATCCTTTGTGGGTGGCGAATATATTTAACTATTATAAAATAAAAAGGATTGATTTTGAGGATAAAGTTGATTTTTGTAGAAAACTGTAAATGAGAAAATGTTTTCAATAGTAACTGATGCTTCCACCAAAGGTGCTACAAAGTGTTTCGCAATAATTCTGAGGTACTTTCACTTTAAAGGTGTTCAGCATGTTGTACTTCATTTTTACAGTGATAGCAACCAATCGCCAGACAATATCACTTCAGATTTCAGGTTTAGATAAAGATAAAATTTCAGCATACACTGCCGATAATACCATTCATTCATTTATTTTTATTTATTATGTACTGTTCCCGCATGTTACATTCTTGGCCCCGCATGGAGCATTATCAAAATAAACACACTGCCGATAATACCAAAAAAATTAACCATTTTAAAGTCACGTAAGAAATTTAAACCAATTACAATGCACAACTGTGCCAAACTCGGTTACAGGTCACCGTCATCGAATTGTTATAGCGTTGTGTCTACCTGACGTCGCGAATGTTCTTTTACATTTATATTATTCCTAATTACAGATAATTGTAACTGAATATAAAAAATAAAGAAATAACAATTGTGTACATGAATATATTTATTTTAATACTGTATTTAATACAATCTGTTTTCTAAATGTCTTCTTGAATATTTTGTATTTATGTCTTCCTTCTGTCAAATAAACAGACATTTGATGAGTTTGGAATTCGACTTTTGTTGTAAATTTCTTTTTACAAATATCACAATAGAAATTAATCTGATTATTAAAAATAGCCATCTGCTTCTCTAAAACCTCCCCAAACGTAAAAATCTGTTCACATATATTACATTGAGGGATGTATTTCAAAACAAGGGAAATTTAAACGTAATTTCAGTTTAGTTTCTCTTATAAATTCGCTTCTACAATGGCCCCTAAAATACAAATGATTCTGATGAACGAGTTGATGGCTTAATAAAAACTTTTAATATAAAAGATACATACTTCACAAACGTAACGAAGATTGTCTTCATTGTTTATGTTCATTACACTTCTGACAACAAAACGGTTTTATGTTCAAATGAAATTTCTACTGACTACGTTGCATTTACTTTTAAATTCTTTATTACACATATTAATTACACTTTTAGATGTGAACTTTCGAATGTTCTTCTATGTGTTTTTAATCTTAAACGGTTGTTACAAATATTGCATACATACATCTTTTCATGTTTAATAATACAATGTCTGGCTAAGGCAGTTGGATTGGTATAGCTTTTTTGACATATGTCACACATACTTTTTTCTATCGTTATGAATAATATTGTGCTGTTTCAAACCAGTTGTCTTAAAATATTTTACACATATATGAAAAAAATATTTTTATTAATCAGTGTGTACATTAATATGCTGTTTTAAATGACTTCTTCGTTTAAAACTTTTGTTACATACCTAACAAGTTTGCTTAAATTCAACATTATGAATTAATTTATGTCTTGTCAAATTGCTTTTTAATTTAAAATATTTGTTACATATGTCACAAGAATATTTATATTCATCAGTGTGTACATTAATATGCTGTTTTAAATGATTTCTTCGTTTAAAACTTTTGTTACATATGTGACAAGTATGGTTAAATTTATCATTATGAACTATTTTATGTCCTGCCAAATACTGTTTTGTTTTAAAACTTTTGTTACATACCTGGCAAGTATAGTTACGTTCATCAGTATGAGTTTCGCGATGGAGTTTTAGTTGCACTTTAAATTTATAACCCTTATTACAAATATCGCATTTGAAAGGACGGTCCTCACTGTGAGCTTTTTGATGCCTTTTTAATAAGCCTCTCCACTTAAAACCCTTATTACAAATATCGCATTTAAAAGGTCGTTCTTCACTATGCGTTGGTTTATGAAATAACAACAACTTTTTCAACTTGAATTCTTTTCCACATATCTCGCAGGCATGTACTTTGTGTATTCTCTTGTGTCTTTCTAAACTGCCCTTACCGTATGGAACGCGCTTACCACAGATGTCGCAATACACATTTTCTCGTTTGATATATTTTTTACTATGAACAAGTTTATGCCGTCGCAAATTAGATTTTGATTTAAAACATTTGTTGCATACATCACAAGTATGGTTAAATTGATTATTATGAACTAATTTATGACATGTTAAAGTGTTTTTTGTTTTAAAACGTTTGTTACATACTTGACAAGAATAATTACGTTCATCATTATGAGTTTCGTAATGTTCTTTTAGTTGTCCTTTCCATTTATAACCCTTATTACAAATATCGCATTTGAAAGGTCGTTCTTCACTATGAATTTTTTGATGGTCTTTCGCTTGGTATATCGATTTAAAACTCTTATCGCAAATATGACATTTAAAAGGACGGTCTGTACTATGCATTGGTTTATGACGTAACAAAATACCTTTACGCTTAAATTCTTTTCCACATATTTCGCAGGCATGAGTTCTGTGTGTTCTCTTGTGTATTTCTAAACGGCCCTTACCATATGGAACGTGCTTACCACAAATGTCGCAGTACACGTTTTCCCGCTGGATATTAGATTTTTTATCATTTCTTAGAGATGACTTCACTCGATCTTCAGATGGCTGCAAACGTAAATTCCTATGAGAGATTTCGTTTTTACTTCCAATTTTGTGTTTTTTCATGTGTCTTTGCAAAAGAAATTGCCACAAAAACTTCTTATTGCAGGTTGTGCAGCAAAATGGTTTCTTTCTAATATGGCAGAGTAGATGTGTTTCTAATATTCTCTTATTTGTAAAAGTCTTTTTACATAAATCACACGTAAATTCTTGTTTAGAATGAGATGCAAACATAACCTTGAAGTATTTCCTTTTAATCTTATCATGAATTTTATTGCATTTCCTACTGGAAGGAACGTATTTGTTTCTTTTAATATATTTAAAACGTTTTTCTCTTTCGGAGTTGTGTGGAATATCGTATTCTTGAATCTGCTCTTCCTCCTTAACTGAAATATTAAAAAGTAACATAATAAATTACTTATAATATTTGAGTAAACATAACATAGTTTCAATGTTAAAATATTAGTGCTGTATTTATATAGTTGGTAAAGTGTACTTATGTTTTTCATTTAAAAGCAAAGCATTATTTGTCGTTTGACCTAAAAATAAAGCATTTTACAATGAACAATTGATTGATTGAGCTTTAGTTTCTTTTTCGGACTTTTAAATGAGCAGGAAAAAATAAATTATTTCATTTTATCTGTTTTTATTTATATTATTTAAGTAGTTTGTTCCACTGGTTATCATAGAAGCGTGGAATAAATTGTGTGCTTTTAGAGAGGTAACGAAAAGTATTACAGCAAAACTTTATGGATTTTAAGTAGAGAGAAACAGTCGAGAGATTCTTCATGAGTTGTGATTTAATAATTCTGCTCATCGCAACAGATTTTTATTAACTTTAAAAGCTGTATGAATACAATGTAAATAGTTACTTATAATTCTCAAATATTTCATCCCAGTTAGATGTATGACTGTTGAAAATTGAATGCAGTTCTTAAAATGCCATGTAAATATTACTAATTTGAATTAAGTAACATGTTACTTACTTTGGATGTTCATTTCATTGTTGTTGAAATTTTCGTCCGGAGTGAAGAATTCATTGTTGACTGGCTAAACAATATACAAACAATACATGTCAACCGCTAATAATTACTTATAATATATACTGAGTGGCAAAAAATTAGAGATATCACTTATTTCAAATTAAACTTGTTTAATAGTGACATAGTGTGAAGTAATCGTGCAGAGTTTCTTATATAAGAAACTCTCAGCTTTTGACGATGTAATTATCACGGAAGTTTATGTCAAAATGGGTAAGACGAAAGATTTAAGTCACTTTCAACGAGTGGTGATCGTCGGTGCGAGAAGAGCTCGTGCCAGCATCTCTGAAACGTTGACTCTTTCAGGATTTTCTCACCCAACAGTATCTCAGGTGTTTAGAGAGTGGCAGTTGAGAAAAAAAGAACTTCAAGCAATAAGGACAATTCTGGTTGAAAAAGGCTGGTGAACGAGAGAGGTAAAAGGTGATTAACACACATAGTCTGCAGCAACTGAAGGGCAACAACACGACAAAGTACAGTTGAATTCAATGTAGGTGCATCACAAAGCATATCGCAATGCACAACAAGACGGACTTTGCAAAGGACGGGCTTTAGCATCAAGTGTGTCTTTGGTATCACAAAAAAATAGAAAAAAGCGCCTGTTATGAGTTCAGGAACGACGTAATTGGTCACTTGAAAATTAAAAAAAGTAGCCTGGTCCGATGAATATCGTTTCCTGCCCCATCATGCATATGGCACAATCAGAATATGGCGCAAACAACACGAATTCATGGTCCCCCTCCTACCAAATGACAACTCTTCAGACTGGTGGAAGTGGAATTATGGCCTGGGAAATGTTTTCTTGAAATACACTGAGTTCTTTGATATTTGGGACACATCTCTGAATAGCATAGCTTATCTCAACATCGTTGCCGATCACGTAGACTCGCTTATGGCTATAATATTTCCTGATGGAGATGATCACTTTCAGCAGGACAATGCACCTTGCCACCGTGCTCGATCAATCTCAAATTGATTTGAGGAACATTAATCAGAGTTTAACCTGCTCTCATGGCAAGCTCAGTCAGTACATTGACCTCAATCCTATGGAATATTTGTGGGACAAATTCGTAGGATCATTTCAAAGCTTGTAAACGGCACCATCCAATTTGACCCAATTTAGAGCTGTCATTATGTCAGCATGAATCAACATTCCTCAGCAACTGTATCAGCAACTTGTTGAATCCGTGTCGAAAAAAAAATATTGGCTGTGATTAGAGCTAAAGGTGGATCAACCCGTTAATAAAGGATGTCTCCAATTTTTTGGCCATTCAGTGTATAAACCAGAAACGAGTTGCTCAACTTTCCCGGCAACATTTTAAAATTTTGGTGGCGCTTTCTGTAATAAAACGTTTTCTAAAGACAATGTGATATTTTTAACCATTATAGAAAAGCAAACAACTGAATTTTAAAAGTAGAAATGGGTTATATATAAAAAAGTTATATGCGAATAACGAGTAAAATCATCATTAAGTACGCCCCTACTGAAGACACACATAACTCCCATTATCTCTTGATTTTTAAGCAGAAAAATTTAAGAGTCTGAATTTCCCTTATAATCAAACGCTCCTGCAAAATTTCAGAAATTTTCGACAAATTGAACACGAGTTATTATGTTTCAAACAGGGGTGCGCCTCCACACACTAACATCCATACATACAGATGAAACCCACGAATTTTTGCATTTTTCGACGTTTGAAGGTGTCCTAAGTTCAAAAATGTTGAAATATTCCGGGAATATGATTTTTTGACCGATCGCCATACTTTTCGTCTCTTACATATAACAGCGGAAAAAGTAATATGAAAATCACTACACATTTATAAATTACAAATCTGCTATTTTGTGATTTCATATATACTCTACATATTACAAAATTGCATTAAAATTAATTATGTTTTGAAAATTTAGTAAAAATTATTTAGCCTTTTGGGGAAATTAACAAAATAACAAAACAGACTCTTTCCAACTTATCCATTGAAAAAGATATTACCAATAAAGCAGGCTGATTTTGCTACAGATCTATGTAAAGTAATTTAGCCCTGTGATAGCCAAAAAAGTAGTTCTGTAAGGAAAAATTTTTACACCTATTGAATTTCACAATTCGTTGTAAAACTCATTTCATTACATTAGAGAGGTTGCAGCCGAGGTTCAAACTTTAAACTTGTACGGCAAGCAGAAGTACACGTTTGGCGTTTGAACTCCAAGCAAAAAACGTTGCGCCAAGGTAACATCACATATCATGTGATATTGTTAAAAATTGGCAAAAAATTTTAAGAAGGACGATAGTTATCATCGAACGTAAATGAACGAGTAAACTATTTAAAAATATTTAGAGAATGTTTAATAACACTAAACAATTATTTTTTACTTTAATTAGCGTTGTATCTCTTACAGTAGAAAGTAACAGTAGGGAAATTACAATGTGTTTTGTCTGTTTTCACGACATAAGTTTCTTAAGGGTAGTTGTGGCTTATATAAATCCGAAAATAGCTTGAAAATTATTTTTAGAATTTTGCAAACGTATTATGCTGATTGATAACATAAAGTGACGTAGAAGAACAAACCTATTTCTACAGTATTATGATAAGTAGTTATGAACACAAATATATAAAAATTCTACAGACACTTTACATCACTTGCAAGAAAATTAAATAATTAAATAACTTCTGGATTTAACTCGTGTTTCTTTTTAATGTTATTCGCAAATGCTTAAATAATCATTATTTTAATAAAATACGCCAAAAATTTAACCTAAAACGGAACAAAAACGCAAACGATTCAGCCGAACTTTTACTCCACGTTAGACGTTCCAAACGCCATTGTCAAACTTCTACGATTACAAGATGGCTGCGCTCAACGTTTGACATTCACGATTTAGCGATGAAAACTTTGCAAATTAATAAACACTGCAATTTATATATATTTTTTACCAGTTTTACAACTGGTTAAAAATATAAATTGCTGTGTTTATTAATTTGTTATAATGTGTGTTTATCTAATTAATGTCTCCATAGTCTTAGATAAATAAATAAATCTGGTATTTTGTACTATCGTTGTTTCAAAGGGTCACAAAGTAAATTTTGCGAAGGACCTCGTAAATCTTAGGTCCGACTGTATGTCGAGTAATTTTCCTCACCTTGTGACCGCATCTATTGTGGATATGACCAACCAATCGATGGGTCTGAAATAAAAACTCGTTGTTTATTCTCTAATTTATCATGCACATAAAAACAGAAATACTCAAACTAACCAACTGAGAAAAGTTTGAAACACTATAATTTACATATATAAATTTAATGTTGAAATTCGCTTTTTACTTTCTCAGATATTATGTATACATAACAAGATAAAGTATTGAAATCTGGTCATTTTTCACCCCCCTGATTTTTTGCAAATTTTCAGATTCTACCCCCAAAAACACGGCAATAAATTCCGTGAATATCTGTGTGTGGGCATGTATTTTGGCATCTATTTCATTTAATATTTCAGAATAAATTGAAGAATAAGAAACAAAATTTAATACCGTACATTGTGTATAAGGAGCATTAACGCTATTAAATTTTGATAAAGAAACGTCGAGAGATGAAGAGATAAAAAATGGTCACGTGTAAAATCTCGAATGGGATCAGACTTAATGAAGATTGTATTTGCGGTTAGCATTTAGGCCTATAATGCTTTGTGAAATGAATTTCTACCATTAAAATTAAGCATTTCTTCATTCTATAATAATTAAAATTATAGAGAGATTTTATAACATATGGCGCCACAGAAAATTTTTATTTATTTATTACTGATAATAATATAAATACTTTTTAAATAAAATCTCTTAACAGACAGAAAACTTACGCAGCTCGTTGTTAAAGTTTTTCTTATATAATATATTTTTTATTTAATATAGAATACACTTTCATTCAAAGCATAATTTTATATTAGTGGTATTCAGCTACATTTTCAACCATTCAGTAAGCTTAGTTAATATTAAAATTTCACTGTAAAATATTTCGAAATTCGTATTACTTACCATTAGCTGTTCATTATTATCTGGAAGATAAACAACTTCTTTACAATCTTCAGTCTTTACTTCAATCTTCAATTTTTTCAAAACAACTTTACATTCTGATTTTATACCATGTTTTACATCATAATTCTTTTCTACTTCTTCTGTCTTGATATCTGTAGTGGAATTTACGTAATTTTGTGTTAAAGTATTCTATGAAAAACTTGAAATATAAAATAAAGCTGAGCATATTTTCATTAATTAACGTAACAATATTAAATTAGATGTTTCACTACATCATTTATTTCTGATTATAAGCCGAAAACTAGTTATGAGTCACGGCGAATTGGTGTGATGCGTGATACAAATTATAATAAATATGATTGGAAACTTTTTTTCGTTATTAAATAAACCACCAATTGCGTGCTTAACTTTTGAGGAAACATTTAAAACTACGTGTGTCGCCATCTTACGATATTTTGCTTAAATCCTTTTTAATATTTTAAACTATTTTTATAAAATAAAAAGAAAACTTGTCTTTCATAAAGATTAATTTTATAGAAAATTGTAAATGAGAAAATGAGTGAACTCGTTTAGTGACGAGTTCACTCATAGTCCGGCCCTACTGATGATATATNTTGTTTTTACAATGCAAAAACATGAGAATTTCATCATTTTCAGGGCATAACCTATTTTTTGCCGGCTCATAAATGTTACCTCCAGTGCTGAAAACTTTTTCACTTTCAATGGAAAATGCTGAGGCAGTTAAATATTTCATAGCTATTTTGCTCAAATTAGGGATAAATGTAAATGTTTCTAATTCTTGATCGAAACGTTTGTTCGTCTCTTTCGTTTTTTTTTTCTTTTTTAAAAACATGCTATTGTTCATTTTTTCGTTTACCCGATGCTAATTTATCAAATAAATCAGAAAAACTTAGAAATTCACCTCCATCTTGATCACCTCCAGAAGTAGAAGCTCCAGAATTTAATTCTTATTGAGATTTCCTCTAGCATATCCTCTTTTTGAAATTTCATTTTGAATCTAATAAAAATGACGAGCATAAAGACTTGTTTTTTCTATATGCTGAAAATCTTTTTTATTGGATTTTCTAGATCTTCTCTTGTGGTATTAATGCCACTAAAGGAACTACTGATCTTTGCTTTCGATATGAATAATTTCAGAGTCTGTATTGTGGAAACTATTGAAGATGAAGTGGCTTCTCGTTTGCTGGCTTTCCACAGTTATTTCTTTGAATGGTTTTACAAGTAGAATAATTTTTTCAACGAGAGACCGCTGATATGGACTCAACATAGGAAGTTTATTATCTATAGTATATGTGACAAGGGCCTTTTGCTGTTCCAACATGTAGTATGTAGAATTCCAGCGAGTAGGAACATCTTGAATTAATTTGTGTTTCTGCAAACCTAACTTTTCTTGCAAATCTTCTAATTTGATTACAGCTACAGCAGAATGATTAAAATGTGTGACAATATTCCTATTAACTGTGATTATAGTTTTCACATCATGTTTAGAAAATATGCATTCGCTTATTGTCAGCTGCAGCGTATGATAATGCTTCTAAGTTGCAATTCTTAATTCCAGCTACCAGATTTGCTGCAGAATCTCTTAGTACTAAGAATATCTTATCACTTGTCAACTTCTACTTTTCAAGAACAATTTTTTACTGTTCACTGATTCGTGTAGCTGTGTGGGAACCTTCAAAGGAAACAAATTGCAAAACAGCTCTTTCCTGCTGAAAATCATCCTTCAACCAGTGGGCTGTTACACTTAAAAAAGGAGAATTGTTTGTAGTTGCTGTCCAAATATCAGCGGTTAAAGAAATATATTTTGTTTCTGTTAAACACAGAAACACTTCAGCTTTTTAAACAATGTCGAAGTTTCCATGCGTCAACAATTAAGTGTTAAGATTTATTTTAGAAACAAAGGAAGAGATTGTTGATTTTGCGAGGATATTCGATCGTCTCTTGTTTACCAGACCCGAGGGAAATGGAAATACCAGGTGGAGAAAAATGGGTTTTTTCCACATTATAATTAACTGTATAATTAACTCCAGGATCTCACACTATTAATGCAATAAATTATTAACACTAATCGGCCGATTAATCGGTATCGGCCGATAATGCATGGCCGATTAATCGGTAATCGGTAATCGGCCATTTTGCTTATCGGTGCATCCTTAGTATTATTTACTTTCACTGTGGTACCGGCTATCATAAGGAAGAAAAAATGTGTAATGCAATGGTATGGCAGATAATTATTTTGAATTTGATTCGAAAAGAAACAAAATCCATCAACGTGTTACTGAACTTTATAATCAAAAAAGGTTACAATTGGTTTCTATTAGAAATTATTATAAAATGGCAAAAGGCTGAATTTTGATAGTAGAGACGAGTTATATTAAAATTTATAGACACATAAAATTAGAACTTTAAAAACTTACGAAATATAAGAATTAACATTACATCCCAGCACTCATTAATGGAAAACCAACTCTTTTCAGAATATCATAAAAATATATCCCTAAAAACAATTAAATAAATACCAAGAAACTTTTTCGCTACTTATTAGAAAAAAGAATCGAAATTAATCATATAATTGGGTTACAATCTGAAAAAATTGTAGACCTATGAATTATCACTGTCGCCTGTCTCTGTGTCAGTTTTTTATTAATCTCGAGAACGGACGAAGATGAAAGAAAGCCGAGATCGAATAATATGGAAAGATAAGGAGCTTGAGACACCGGTGTAATATGTAGGAACTTTTAGTGAAGATCAAAAGTCACGTTATTTCAATAAAAACCTATGCTCATGAAAATAGTTAAATAATAACCGGCACAACTCCATTATCAAAGGAAAAGAATAATTACAAAGGCAAGCCACTATTAATTTGAAATGAAGTTGCATATATTTTAAATTAAATACATTAAAAATATTAAATTAATTTAAATATCTATAACCCTCAAGCAGATAAAAGGGAGTGGGTTTATCACACCAATAATAATGGGCACAAACGTTCAGGAATCAAAGTAAAACGCTTAATAAAAATAACTACATACGTATGGAAACGAAGAACCCAAAATGAATTTCAGACAATTTTTCTAACACAAAATAGTTCGAAACACATTTTCTGAATTTAGTCCGAAATAGTCTAAATTAAATAATATCAATAACATTTAATTTAGTTGATAGATTTGAAATTGTCAATTCAATTGTTCAGAATCTTACAACAGAGACTTGCATTTTGCGTTTTTCGTTTCCATATTTTATTGTACACCTTTTTTTTGTTTTCATTAAATGTTTTTACTTTGATCCTTGAACATTTCTGCCCATTATCATTGGTGTAATAAGACCTTCCTTTTATCTCTCTCACTGGTTGTAGATATTTTTAATNTTAAACAGTCCTTCCGTTTGAAACTCTTATTGCAAATATCGCATTTGAAAGAACGATCTTCACTATGCGTTGGTTTATGACGTAACAAACTATTTTTAAGCTTATATTCTTTTTCACATATCTTGGAGGCGTGAACTTTACCATTTCTTGAAGATGACTTCACTGCATCACCAGATGGCTGCAAACGTAAATTCCTATGAGAGATTTCGTTTTTATTTCCACTTTTGTGTTCTTTCACGTGTCTTCGCAAAAGAAATTGCCACAAAAACTTTTTATTGCAGGCTGTGCAGCGAAATGGTTTCTTTCTAATATGACAGAACAGATGTGTTTGTAATATTCTCTTATTTGTAAAAGTCTGTTTACATAAATCACACGTAAATTCTTGTTTAGAATGAGATGCAATCAACACCTTGAAGTATTTCCTTTTAATCTTATCATGAATTTTATTGCATTTCCTACTGGAAAGAACGTATTTGCTTGTTTTGATATTATATTTAAAATGTTTTTCTCTTTCGCAGTTGTGTAGAATATCTTCTTGAATCTGCTCTTCCTCCTTAACTGAAATATTGAAAAGTAACATAAGAAATTACTTATAATATTTGAGTAAACATAACATAGTTTCAATGTTAAAATATTAGTGTAGTAGTTATATAATTGGTAAAGTGTACTTATGTTTTTCATTTAAAAGCAAGACATTATTTGTCGTTTGCACTAAAAATAAAGCATTTTACAATCTAAAACTAATTGATTGAGCTTTAGTTTCTTTATCGGACTTTTAAATGAGTAAAAGAAATTAAATTGTTTCATTTTATCTGTTTTTATTTATATTATTTATGTAGTTTGTTCCACTGGTTATCACAGAAGCGTGGAATAAATCGCGTGCTTTTAGAGAGGAAACGAAAAGTACCACAACAAAACTTTATGGATTTTAAGCAGAGAGAAACAATCGAGAGATTCTTCATGAGTTGTAATTTAATAATTCTTCTCATCCCAACAGATTTCTATTAACTTTAACAGTTATATTAATGCGTATAAATAGTTACTTATAATTCTCAAATATCCCATCCCAGTTGAATGTATGACAGTTGAAACTTGAATGCAGTTCTTTAGCTGCCCTCTAAATAATACTAATATAAAAATTTTGAATTAAGTAACATGTTACTTACTTTGGATGTTCATTTCATTATTGTTGAAATCTTCGTCCGGAGTGAAGAATTCATTGTTGACTGGCTAAACAATATACAAACAACACATGTCAACCACTAATAATTACTTATAATATACACTGAGTGGCCAAAAAATTAGAGACATCACTTATTTCAAATTAAACTTGTCTAATAGTGACATAGTGTGAACGCAGAGTTGCATATATAAGGAACGCTCAGCTTTTGACGATGTAGTTATCACAGAAGTTAATTTCAAAATGGATAAGACGAAAGATTTAAGTGACTTTCAACGAGTGGTGATCGTCAGTGCCAGAATAGCTGGTGCCAGCATCTCTAAAACAGTGACTCTTTCAGGATTTTCTCACCCAACAGTATCTCAGGTGTTTAGAGAGTGGCAGTTGAGAAAAAAGTTCAAGCAATAAAAACAATTCTGGTAGAAAAAGGCTGGTGAACGAGAGAGGTGAAAGGTGATTAGCCCACATAGTCTGCAGCAACTAAAGGGCAACAACACGACAAAGTACAGTTGAATTCAATGTAGGTGCATCACAAAGCATGTCGCAATGCATAACAAGAAGGACTTTGTAAAGGACGGGCTTTAGCATTAAGTGTGCCTTTGGTGTTACAGAAAAATAGAAAAAGGCGCCTATTGTGAGTTCAGGAACGACGAAATTAATCACTTGAGGACTAGAAAAAATAGTCTGGTCCGATGAATCTCGTTTCCTGCTCCATCATGCATATGGCAGAATCAGAATATGGCGCAAACAACATGAATTAATGGTCCCCCTCCTGGTGGTTTTATTTTTAGGAATTATGTTTTCCTGGAGTACACTGGGTTCTTTAATATTTGGGAATACATTTCTGAATAGCATAGCTTATCTCAACATCGTTGCCGATCACGTAGACTCGTTTATGGCTGTAATATTCCCTGATGGAAATGATCACTTTCAGCAGAACCATGCACCTTGCCACCGTGCTCGATCAATCTCAAATTGATTTCAGGAACATCAATCAGAGTTTAACCTGCTCTCATGGCAAGCTCAGTCAGTACATTGACCTCAATCTTATGGAATATTTGAGGGACAAAGTCGAAAGATCATTTCAAAGCTTGGAAACGGCACTATCCAATTTGACCCAATTTAGAGCTGCCATTATGTCAGCATAAATCAACATTTCTCATTAACGGTATCAGCAACTTTTTGAATCTATGCCAAAATTATTGGCTGTGATGAGAGCTAAAGATGGATCAACTCGTTAATAGAGGATGTTACCAATTTTTTGGACACTCAGTGTATAAACCAGAAACGAGTTGCTAAACTTTCCCGGAAACATTTTAAAATTTGTTGTCGCTTTCTGTAATAAAACGTCTTTTAAAGACAATATATGTTTAACTATTATAGAAAAGTAAAGAACTGAATTTTAAAAGTAGAAATGAGTTTTATATAAAATTAGTTAAATACGAATAACGAGTAAAATCATCATTAAGTACGACCCTACTGGAGACACACATGACTCCCATTATCTTACCACTCTCTTGATTTTTATGCAGAAAAATTTAATAGCCTCAATTTCCCTAATAATCAAACGTTCCTGCAAAATTTCAGAAATTTTCGACAAAAATAACTCGAGTTATTAAGTTTCAAACAGAGGTGCACCACCACACTGTAAAATCCATATATACAGATGAAACCCACGAATTTTTGCATTTTTTGACGTTTGAATATGTCCTAATGCCCAAAAATGTAAAAATCTTCTAGGGGGTCATTTTTTTGACTGATCGCCATATTTTTCGTCTCTTAGATATAATAGTGGGAAAAGTAATATGAAAGTCTCCACACATTTAAAAATTACAAATCTGCTATTTTGTGATTTCATATATATGTTACTGTGAAAAACCGAAATTAGAGAATGTCGTTATTCTCCAGTGAATGTCGACACAATACGTCGGTGAAAGACCGAATATTTGGTTAAATTATTATACATTCGAACAATCGCCGGTCAAGCACAGATAAGGTTTGGTGGAGGTCGAAACGACACCCGAGAAGTCGATGTCTACAGAGAGGGGACAGTCCGTCGTCAAATTCTTCGCCGTTTCCTTCTGCTCAAACTGGTAAGAAATACAAGCAGTGCCGGCCCGAGGCAAGTTTTAGGATGGGGCGAAATCTTATTATGGCGCCTCTCTTCGTTGCTCCTAATTTATACCCTTTAATTTTCTTTTCTTTAATTTTAATTTTCGTTTTAGGTTCAACAGTTTATTTGCAAATGCTGTTACTTAAGTTTTCTCCTATTTTGACGTATTAAAACGTTGCATTTTTGTCTTAACGTAATAAAAACACTTTTATTTAACATTCACCATCAGTGCATGCTGAGTGTCGACATTTGCCAGTGTAAGTGAGAAATAATGATATTTAGCAAATACTTCGTACATAAACGAAACGAATGTGTGAATGCTGACATTCACCGGAGAACCTCGACATTCGCCAGATATCGGTCATTCACGGTAACATATACGCTACATGCTACAAAATTGCATTAAAATTAATTATGTTTTGAAAATTTAGTAAAAATTATTTAGCCTTTTGGGAAATTAACAAAATAACAAGCGAGACTCTTTCCAACTTGTCCATTTAAAAAGATATTACTAATAAAGCAGGCTGATTTTGCTACAGATCTATATAAATTAATTTAGCACTGTGATAGCCAAAAGAGTAGTTCTGTAAAGAAAAATTTTTACACCTATTGAATTTCACAATTCGTTGTCAAACTGTTTTGCTCATTTTATTACATTAGAAAGGTTTCACCCGAGGTTCAAACTTTAAACTTGCACGGCAAGCAGAAGTACACATTTGACGTTTCAACACAAAGCAGAACACGTTGCGCCAAAGTAACATCACACACTAATTCATGTGTTATTGTTGAAAACTCAGAAAGATTTAAGAACGACGATAATTATCAACGAACGTAAATGAACAAGTTAAACTATTTAAAACTATTTAGAGAATGTTTAATAACACTAAACAATTATTTTTGACTTTAATTAGCGTCGTGTCTCCTACAGTACAAAGTAACAGTAAGGAAATTACAATGTGTTTTCTCTGTTTTCACGAGATAATTTTCTTGATTGAAATTGTGGCTTATATAAATCCGAAAATAGCTTGAAAAATTATTTTTAAAATTTTACAAACGTATTATGCTGTTGATGGCAGAAAGTGACGTAAAAAACAAACCTATTTTTACAGTATTATGATAAGTAGTTATGAACACAAATATATAAAAATTCTACAGGCACTTTACATCACTTGCAAGAAAATTGAATAATTAAATAACTTCTGGATTTAAATCGTCTGTTTCTTCTCAATGTTATTCGCAAATGCTTAAATAATCATTATTTTAATAAAATACGCCATAAATTTAACCCAAAACGAGAAAAAAGCAAACGTTTTTGCCGAACTTCTACTCGCCACGATCGACGTTCCAAACGCCATTGTAAACTTCCAAGTTTACAAGTTCTGGCGCTGGACGCCAGAACTTGTAATCTTGAACTTCAAATTCTTCAAAATTATAAATTGCAGGTTTATTAATTTGTTATAATCTGTGTATCTAATTAATGTCTTCATAGTATTAGAAAAATAAATACATCTCGAATTTTACACTATCGTTGTTTGAAGGGCCCCATAATAAATTTTGTCGACGGTTTCGTAAATCTTAGGTCCGACTGTATGTCGGGAAATTTTCCTCAACATGTGGCCGCATTCATTGTGGACCTGACCAACTCATCGATCAGTCTGAAATAAAAACTGATTGTTTATTCTCTAATTTATTGTGCAAAAAAAGGAAAAATACTCAAACTACCAAATTAGAAAAGTTTGAAACACTATAATTTACATATACAAATTTAATGTTAAAATTCGTTTTTTACTATATCGAATGTTATGTATACATAACAAGATACAGTATTGAAATCTGGTCAATTTTCACCCTCTGATTTTTTGCAAATTTTCAGATTCTACACCGAAAACCACGGCAAAAAATTCCGTGAATATCTGTGTGTGTGGGCGTATATTTTGGCGTCTATTTAATTTAATATTTCAGAATAAATTGAATATTAAAAAACGAAATTTAATACCGTACATTGTGTATAAGGAGCATTAATGCTATTAAATTTTGATAAAGAAACGTCGAGAGATGAAGAGATAAAAAATGGTCACGTGTAAAATCTCGAACGGGATCAGACTTAATGAAGATGGTATTTNTTAATTTAAATTGAGCTTATTTTATTTAAATTTATATTCTTCAGTCCGACGCTCACATTTTACTTGTGATTATAAATTAAAATTTTTTAAAAACGAGAGTTATCTTTAATTTGAAAATTAAGTTTTTTGCCATTTTATAACAACTAATAATATAAACAGATTTTTTGAATAAAATTTCCTGACAATTGATGCAACATAGAAATTTGTAGTTTTTTTTCCGAAAAAGTTACGCGTTGCTGGAGTTTTTCGATAACAAATAATTTCAGGTTTCTTATTTTGTGACGATCAATCTCTCGATCATCGTCAATCTCCAAAGGACTCGATCGAAAATGAGAGAGATCGCGTTGTTCTACTACTGCTTATGCCTGACAGGACTTAAAAGTCTCGAACATATTTTGATCTCTTACAGCTTAAATATCATTGATTTTACAAATATAATACATTAAAATCAAACTACACATACATGAAATATAAATTTATAGATACAAAAGTAGATACATTCAAAATATTACATCGAATTAAGAATGAAATGAAGCAATGTTAGCTATTACTTATCGAACTACAAAATTTCTCTTAATAACGCGTAACTTGTCTAAACAAGAGTATTATAGTATAATAAATAATCTAGCATAGAATTGCGTTACTTTCCCAGCTGTTATGAGATTTTATTTTGAAAACTACTTTTTAATTATTAAGCATAATAAATAGGCTTATATAGGCCTAAAATTGTATGCATGGCATGTGTTAAAAGATATTGTTTTAAAAATTTACATACTTTTAATTATTATAAAATAGCAAAAGACTTATTGAAGATAGAGATAAGTTTATAAAAGATTGTAAATGATAACATGTAAAATCTTCATTCCGTCTGACCGCTCCAGAGATATGACACATGACAAGTGGCGAGCCGTCTATGGAAGATGTGGAAGCGCAACTTTCCTTGAATTTTCTAAAATATAAATACATATTGTGCGATTGTTTTCATATTTTAACGTACTTTAGATAAATTAAATTAATATTTTATTACATCCGCATTATGCATCTTATTACAAGTGAAAAACAATAATAAAATTCGAATATAAATTCGTATATGCCTATTTCTAATGGAAGCGCCGTATTGCTGAATACGGGACAGCTTCCACGGAGAAAGTATTTGAATGGCGTAAAGCAGCCAGATTAAATTCATTCGCCAATGCCAGATACAATCATTGGAAGAATGATTGTATCCGGCACAGCTTCCCTACCATTGAATATCACCATACGCAACTGCACGTGACTACCCTCTATCTATCCATCCTCTTGACCTTCCACAACTAATCTTTAATATCATCAATGCCCCTTAAAAACAAGCTATGGATTATTCCCAAAAAATTATACGTATTTTCGAAATGTAGAGTCGAATTAGTCTAGAATCGATTAATTTGATGGAAGAAACCTTTCAAACAGCCGTAAACTGTAGTCCGTAAACTGCATATGTGCCGGGCTGTGATTAGCTCATGTATTCAAGGACTCGTACATGGGCGTAGCCAGAGATTTGTTATGGGGGGCCTAGTGGAGGCCAACCTGACACAAAATTGAATTATTTAAAATTATTGTTCATTATTGGGCACCGAGCAAGCCGTTCACCCTTTTTTAGTATTCAAAACTTTTATTTTAGCTTTAGGTTTTTACAAATCGACTCAACACTTTTTCGGCTGTGATTTCCTGGGGNATTATTTAAACTGGGGCATAAAAATACGCTTACTAAATATATATTTTTTTAAATATAGCCTACTAACTACTTTTTTTTTTAAAAAAAATAGTAGTGCCTGCCATCTATTTAACACCTTTCAAACAAAAATTTTGAATTCAAACAACGTGACTTCAGGTTTTCAGCAGATATACGTACCTATACAGTTTATTGGAGTCTTCTGCCCAATTAAATAAATATGAAGATTTTTGTGCGTAGCCTGAGGTAGGACGAAGTCGAACCTCTTTTTGTCGGCAACAGTTTGGTAAAAATTGCCCACCTTGTCAGAGAATGGTTGGTTTATACTTTACTATCCCTAAAAGTCGGGATGCATTCGTCGGGTCGAGTGGAGGAGGAGAGAGGGGTCGTCGGTAAGGTGTGGACGATACTCGAATTAAAGACAACTTTTAACAATAAAACAAACATTTATTTAGACAACATAATATCTAATATACAGGGATTACCCGTTCGCGCGTAATTGGAAGTGACCGCGCCGAGAGAAAGTTTACAATAATGAGTGTCATACCTACAGTGACCATATTTTTTTGGGGAAAATAAAGGACATATCGATGAAAATCAAAAAATACCTTATAAAATTCATAAGTTTATAACATTTATTACGAAAATAGTAGCATACAACAATGCATACATTAAAATTTTAAACAATCTGAATTATTACACACACACACATTGTAAAAATTTAAACATTAATTTTGATACTTTTCAGTAGAATTAATTTTTTTTTTTTATAGCGCCGTTTTACGCTTTAAATCCATAAAATTCCATACAGTTCATTTGAAAGTTGTATTTGATGGAAATACATGCTTCTAATGTGCTTATTTTTAAATCAGTTTATTTTCATTTTACGCCAATCGCTGATTTTTAGGATAAGTTCCTTGTGATTCATTTTTCGGGTTCCTGGGAGATAGGAAACGGCTCCGTGGGAAGAAAATGTGTTTATCCGTTTTCGTAAAATTTAAAAAAATGGGTTTTTCTTTGTTTAATTTTAATAAAGAATTTAATTTAAATTGAGCTTATTTTATTTAAATTTATATTCTTCAGTCCGACGCTCACATTTTACTTGTGATTATAAATTAAAATTTTTTAAAAACGAGAGTTATCTTTAATTTGAAAATTAAGTTTTTTGCCATTTTATAACAACTAATAATATAAACAGATTTTTTGAATAAAATTTCCTGACAATTGATACAACATAGAAATTTGTAGTTTTTTTTCCGAAAAAGTTACGCGTTGCTGGAGTTTTTCGATAACAAATAATTTCAGGTTTCTTATTTTGTGACGATCAATCTCTCGATCATCGTCAATCTCCAAAGGACTCGATCGAAAATGAGAGAGATCGCGTTGTTCTACTACTGCTTATGCCTGACAGGACTTAAAAGTCTCGAACATATTTTGATCTCTTACAGCTTAAATATCATTGATTTTACAAATATAATACATTAAAATCAAACTACACATACATGAAATATAAATTTATAGATACAAAAGTAGATACATTCAAAATATTACATCGAATTAAGAATGAAATGAAGCAATGTTAGCTATTACTTATCGAACTACAAAATTTCTCTTAATAACGCGTAACTTGTCTAAACAAGAGTATTATAGTATAATAAATAATCTAGCATAGAATTGCGTTACTTTCCCAGCTGTTATGAGATTTTATTTTGAAAACTACTTTTTAATTATTAAGCATAATAAATAGGCTTATATAGGCCTAAAATTGTATGCATGGCATGTGTTAAAAGATATTGTTTTAAAAATTTACATACTTTTAATTATTATAAAATAGCAAAAGACTTATTGAAGATAGAGATAAGTTTATAAAAGATTGTAAATGATAACATGTAAAATCTTCATTCCGTCTGACCGCTCCAGAGATATGACACATGACAAGTGGCGAGCCGTCTATGGAAGATGTGGAAGCGCAACTTTCCTTGAATTTTCTAAAATATAAATACATATTGTGCGATTGTTTTCATATTTTAACGTACTTTAGATAAATTAAATTAATATTTTATTACATCCGCATTATGCATCTTATTACAAGTGAAAAACAATAATAAAATTCGAATATAAATTCGTATATGCCTATTTCTAATGGAAGCGCCGTATTGCTGAATACGGGACAGCTTCCACGGAGAAAGTATTTGAATGGCGTAAAGCAGCCAGATTAAATTCATTCGCCAATGCCAGATACAATCATTGGAAGAATGATTGTATCCGGCACAGCTTCCCTACCATTGAATATCACCATACGCAACTGCACGTGACTACCCTCTATCTATCCATCCTCTTGACCTTCCACAACTAATCTTTAATATCATCAATGCCCCTTAAAAACAAGCTATGGATTATTCCCAAAAAATTATACGTATTTTCGAAATGTAGAGTCGAATTAGTCTAGAATCGATTAATTTGATGGAAGAAACCTTTCAAACAGCCGTAGACTGTAGTCCGTAAACTGCATATGTGCCGGGCTGTGATTAGCTCATGTATTCAAGGACTCGTACATGGGCGTAGCCAGAGATTTGTTATGGGGGGCCTAGTGGAGGCCAACCTGACACAAAATTGAATTATTTAAAATTATTGTTCATTATTGGGCACCGAGCAAGCCGTTCACCCTTTTTTAGTATTCAAAACTTTTATTTTAGCTTTAGGTTTTTACAAATCGACTCAACACTTTTTCGGCTGTGATTTCCTGGGGGGCACCAGGTTCTCTGGGAGGGGCCGTGCCCCCAGGCTCCCCCCTAGCTACGCCCATGGACTCGTAGAACATCAATTACATAAAGAACGGAACGTATCTACCGTGTTATAGGGAAGTCGACTGTATTTTTCACTCACCTCTAAGGGTTCCGATTTAATTGTTTTATAGCACTTCACATCTATATTGTATTCTCTCTTGAAATTTTTAAAATCAAGTTCAAATTTTTCTTCGCTTCCTTCAATTGTAAAGTCCGAATGTTCCGTTTCTAACTCTTGTTTTATCTTCATTTTTTCTATTTGCGATATTCTCGTATGTCAACAATCTGTATTCAATTAATTAATTAATTAATTAATTAATGTTCATTCAAAGTTTAGAGCAAGTAATAAGGAAAGACGAGTAAACTCATTACTATTGTACCCGTTGTACCAGTAAACAAAAGATGCACACTCAAAGTTAACGGAAGAGATTCCAGTGGTACACGTCACCAGCACACGTGATGCAGCTATAATATCACGTGTTATGTAGTTAATAGTCAAGAATTTTTAAATTGGGGTTTAAAATTAATTTTTAATAACATAAACATCAGAATTGAAATATATTAATATTTGAAATATTAATAAAAACATATTAAAATTTATGATAATAATTCAATTTTTGTGCGCCCTTGACACTTGGGGGCCAAGGGTTTGAGTTTTAGTCCTTATGTAGATTTGCTTCTGACTACGTAGCCTGATAGTTTAATGTTAACTCTCTTATAAATAAAAGATAGAATTAAAAGACAATTTAAATAGCAGGAAAATTTGTAAAATAAATGAATAAAACTACAGTACTAAAAAATAAAAAATAAATATAAATTTGAATATCTTTTCTGCGAAACAACACTAAAATAATTCTTAATAGTTATGTGGAAAAAAACGACAGTTGCAATTAATTAAAAATAGTATAATTAATGCAGAAAATTCAATGCAAAATGAATATTACGTGAGGGTTTAAAGTTCATAATTTACTTTTAACAAAAGTTTGTCATATTTGTTCGATATTTTCCCCTATTTTTGTAAAACGAAATTAAAAGAAAAACTTCCTAATCTGTTAATGTACACCAGGGCTTCTTAAACTTTTTTATTCACGACCCCATTTATAATTGTGATTTATTTCGCGACCCCCCCAAAAAATATAAAATAAAGATATATACAAATTTGCAAAAACAATAATGGTGTACTACCACAGTTCACTCTTGTGTTACAATAGAACAGAGACAACTGAATACACTGAAAAGCGACAATAATACACTAGTTCACACTACAATCAATGTTGCTGAATCGTCTTGATACAACAGAAGCGCAACTCACGAAACCTATGACACAAAGCGTGCCATTTTCAAACTCTCATAAATTATTTTCAATATTTTGCATTAAAATCTCACGACCCCAAGATTTCGTTAAGCGACCCCAAATGCGGTCGCGACCCATAGTTTAAGAAGCCCTGATGTACGTGATTCATGATTGTGATAATAATAACTAACTACTAGACTACTACTAATTACTTACTCACTACAGGTAACCCCCGTATAACACGGCACTTCTACAGCACGGATTCGCTCTAACACGGTTCGAGAATTGGTACCCTCCCCCGTATAACACGGTACTTTTATAGCACGGATTCACTCTGACACGGTTCGAGAAATGGGTAAAACCCTTGTACAACATGAAATGTAATAAATTTTTACATACTTAAGTACTAATAGTTCACAAAAATTCTTACTTTCGTGAACTATTAGTACTTCAGTGTGTAAATTTTCTTTTCTCATCTTCATACACATGCTCCTTCGCGAAAATTGTTTCAATTCTGCCATATCTCGACGCTTCTGCTTCTGGTGTTGCCAGATATTTTTCCCTTATTCCATAAGTGCTTAGCACCATATAAGGAAATTTATAAAGATCTTTTAACTAGAAGCAAGCAATCTAAAATTACATACACTTTTTGCAAAAGGTAAAGCATGAATCTGAAAATAATGCAGAAAAATGCTCAGAGGATAACGATAACTTGCCAAAAATAAAACGCTCTCGGTTAATAGTGCTTTTAGTGATGACAAAGAAAACATTGTTTAATTTTTATTAATATGTATCACTTAAGAAAATTTTAATAAAGATATTTACCTTAATTATGAAAATATAGTAGCATGTTTTTTAATTTTTGGAACCTAACCCTCCTTTTCGTACTAGTTCTTTGTTTCGCATAACACGGCAATTTTTTGGAACGTAACTACCGTGTTATACGGGGGTTACCTGTACTTTACTAACAATAATAATTAAAATACTTATAAATAACTACAGATTGATATGTAGAGCCTATATAAGAAAACTGGTAAGACTGATAGCCACTTAGCCACTGATTAGCCACTGATAAATAAGTCCTTACATTATTATAATATAATATATTAATATAAATTAATTAGTAGAATTACCTAGAATTACCCTTGCTATTATTTAACTTAAAAATTACATTATAATTATGATCTAACTAAACATTGAAAGTTAATTATCTCTATCTCAAGTGTTAATCCGAACCAAAGTTAAGTTTACTACCTATATGTGTAAGAAGTTTTACTGATTTATAGTGACCAGTCTAAATCATAAAGGTTTCTTAAGTATTTTTTAAAAACTGTTTTATTTCTTTAAAAAACCCATAAATTTTTGAATAAATAGATAGATAGATAACACTTTATTCCACCAAAAAACATCCGCGCATCATTCCAGATGGATCCGCGCTGGATCCAGCTGGAATGATGTTGGTCCAGCAAAAATCCAGCTGGATTAAAAACACTGCTGGATTGCAATCCCTAGTAGTCACGTGAGAAAATACAATCAAGCGGTGTTTTAATCGCAGAAAGAACGATGCAGTTAACTGAGATGAGTGGAAACGATAATAAATTTAATCCACAATAACACAAATAATCACATATGATTTAATTCAAAGGAAAAAAAAAACAAAGGAAACTTAGCCGAAATATAATTCTTCATTGACAGATCTTGATCGAAGAATAAACGTATTTTTACATATAAGAGACGTAGTACGGTTTATAACTTCCTCCGCAACTACAAAGATCGCATAGACATAAGATTGGCTCCAGGGGTATACTCGGTTCCATTAAGGGACCATAGGTTTCAAAGAACTTTGTATACATTGGCTCTACTATACGCTCTCTAGATAAGCGTCTACGGGAGCATAGGTATGACATTGAACATAATAGAAGCACTACTGCTTTGTGAACTTATGGTTCGACCACGGGCATTACAGCGGATCTGCATAACGCCCAAATAATTAATCTATCAAGCAGAAGAGAACATATACGTTCGCTGGAAACTTGAAAAATACAAAGCTGGGCTACAGAATAACTGCATTAATTCCAAGGATGCTATTAATATTTTCTAACGCCTGGAAGCTATACTATGAACGGGAAGACCCTATTTAATCCGGATCTCCACACTTTTATATGTGGGTGTTAAGAAAATATATTATTTCATTTGTATAAGCTAAGCTTAGTACGCACACGCAATGAGAATTTTTATACGATCGGTTCATACGTTCTAAGAATAATATGAAAATTATTCAAGCACAACGGATATTCGAATCTCGGAACTTTCTGCCTGAAAAAGACCTGAAATAACGGTCGAAAACGTTTGCAGTATTTTTTTAAAATATTTTACTGATTATTTAAGGTTGAAGAGAGTGTGGTGTATTTTTACACTAGTTTTTCCTCAATCCAAGAAAATATCTCTAATCCGAAATCTTCGACAAAATTTTCTTGTTAAATAAAGCAAGCCATAGAAAACAAAATTTGTAAACACGTGGATAACGTCAGTGTCGGTATCGTTCGCCATCTTGAATACTGTACGTACGCGCCGAAATGTAACAACGTGTTTGCCAAATGAGTGATAAAAACGAGGTGGGTTCTAGGAACAACATTTGTTTATCATATGTCACGTGGGTTTCGTAGCTACGAACTATGATGTCAGTCGGTGACGCGCTACCTGTTGACTTCTATAAACTTTGATTGTGCACGCCCTTTTTTACTGCTACAACTAGAAGAAAAAAAACTGAGTTTACTTGCCTGTCTTTGTTAGGATTCTTTCGTACTATGGCCGACTGGTTGGACTGGTCCGACTCCAAGACGTGTTGCCATGGAAACAGCAGCGGGTCGACAGAGGGTCGTTCCAGTAGGCCAATTTTAAACAGTTAATTATTTTTAACCGGGTCGGAGCAGTCGGTTATAGTGTGAAATACCCCCTACTCATTCAAAAATTCGAGCAAAATTAATATGGATATTTATTAATTGATATTGATTGATGACACTCTATTTAACTAGGAGAGGTAAGTGTTTCCTATTATATGAATTTTATTTATTTATTTATTTAGGCAAGTGTAAACTCAAACTCGGTGGTTTTAAAATCTTTTATTTAAAACAGGTTGTTGACATACGAGAATATTTTAAATTGAGAAAATGAAGATAAAAGTAGACCCAGAAAATGAATATTCAGAGTTTACATTTAACCCATGTGATGAGAAGTTTCAATTTTTAAAGAACTTTAAGAAATAATTTAATATGAATACGGAAANTATTTCGCTTAATATATCAAGACGGGGTGAAGATAAAGGAACGACATTCTGCATTGTAGGTTTCATATAAGGGGTATTGATACTATAAAAGTTTGGTTGTGAAAAATCAAGAGGATGAAGAGATAGAGGGTGGTCACCAGCAGTGGCACAACAATCATGTCTACATATAAAAACTGTCAAACAGAGGTTAGTGAGACAATTGGCTCCAAAATCCTTTATTATGTCATTAGATTTAGATTTGTTTAATTCTTTTTTTACAACTTATTCGTTATCATTTGCCTGACTTCACTTGTGTTATGAACTGAGCTGAAATTTTTAAATTTTAGACCTGTATATTCCGCTATATTCGTCTGTTTTTTTTAAATATGATAACAGAGTGAAAATCGTAAACTTTTCTACCGGAGGATCGATTAACCGTAGTTAGGTGATTTTTTTAATTAAAATCTGATAAAAAATTGCAATCAATATAAACGATTTTTAAACCTGAATTACTATGAATAACTATATATAATACAATTGAGTTGATTATCCTAACGGAATCGTTAAAATAGACAAATAAACAGGATGTATTTGAATTAGAGTATCCTATATGATGTGTTCACTTCAGACACTTTTCTTCGGGAACTGTGGGGAAGAGAGGAGTTGACTTTTTGTTGACGCCCGTTTATTT